ATACGTCTAAGGTGTCCAATACACCTCCATGCCCAATCGAGCCAGTGATCACTACTACAACCGAGAAGTGGTGTGTGTGATCCGTACGCCTCTTCATGGTTGGTTTGGAATCAGAGTTATTGGCCAACTCCCCTGGGTGAACTGCTATATGTAGTCCAGCAGCCGCGGTTATAGCCCCGAATGTCGGCTTTTCGTCCTATCACTTTTGTGGTTAAACACCTCCGCGAAAACGCAGTGAATATGCGGCTTCGTCTGCAGAGACAGGCTATTAGAGACGTTTGGTCGTATGTGAGCATTTCGTGAGACAAGGAATGGGTGATCAGCCACGAAATGAGACATCCCCCCCCGACCATGCTGAGGCCGTTGGAGACAAAGGGTTGCACAACGCATTTATAAAATCTGAGGTTATAATTCAACTCTTAGTTTCTACATTTCTGTGTCCATGGTAAACAAATAACTTCACCTTTCAACTTACAGTTACCTTTGCATAGCTTTGTGGGCAACTTGTTTTCGTTGTGACTGACTATCCTTCGGACTCCATCTTCACACACAGTCCACGGTTTTTCCAGTTAACGATAAACTTAGGAAGCGATGCACCTGATTGATACTCTTGCTAGATTTTACCAATAGTATACATCTACCGTCTCGTTTGGGATTTGAAAACCGGATCCTTCTCTTGGAAAGATGTACATACATGCTAGCACTTGACCAACCAGCTCTTAACGGGTCTTCATCGGGATAAGCAATTTACATTTATTCAGATGTCGATCTCAGAGATAGTCCGTCAGTTGTTAGCTTTACTACTCCGAAGGCAGATACAAATCATTAACTCTAATCGAAAACTCTGACCAGATAGGATCAGGTCAGCGTAGCCTGCCTGCCTGCCTGCCTACTTTGATTCCTGAGTCATCGTTTACCAGAGTCTTTGCGAAAGTCATAAACAAAGAACCAAGATGAATTGGTTTTTCTATGCAATTAATCATCTTCTAATAATCTGGGTGTTTTTCTCTGTTCTTTTGATTCGCTCTACATTCGAACGTACTTGATAGCCAGGCTAACGTTTTTATGCTTTCTTTCTGTTCCCATCTCTCAACCCAACCCCGGCAGAACCAGTGGCCTTCTGGACCAGGCTGTTCATCCAAGGAGACCACGTCGATGGATGTGGTCACCAGCCTTCCTCAGGTATTCGACAGTTCATCCACTCCGTGCACCACATCCTCGTCCTCGTCCATCCCCACCACCTCGTCCACGACAGTGAATAGTCACGAGCAAACACCCACTGACAGTCTTTTTTCATCCTTGTTCACCGCACAACATGATCTATCTACCCAGTTCTTGCCCGGTTTGAACGCGGCCGGAATCACTGTCTATCCGGTTCAGGTGTCGGCAAACGGACCCACCGTACTGGTGGCCGCCACGCCCTCGTCCACTTCGGCAATTGGCACGAAAGGATTTCTGAATCGGACCGGTCTGATCTCTATTCCGACTGTGACCACCACCACGGCCACGACCACTACAACCGCTGTCACGAACAAACTCATCCCCACGTGTTGTGCGGTCACGTGTACAAGCACCGCATCTGCCACAGCCGCAATCACAAACTCGATTTCGGGTACTTTTGCCGGTACTCTGCTCAGTCCTGCCCTGACCGTGTCCACAACTGCGTCCAATTCTTTACCACGAACTAAGCCCAAATTCAAAGCCCTATGGGAATCGAATCTGGGCAACACCGCAGAATCTGATGGGATGCGTGCTATGCAGACTACCGATTCCCCGGTTGGTGAATCGGTGCCAGATCAGACTAGTTTATTGGTAACCAGCTCATCTACACGGATCGTGAATCACATATCCAAGCGCCAGTCACCGATTCTCATCGGGAGCAAATCCATTGGTCAAACACCAAAACGATTGGCCGCAAGTGCAGCCTCGGCTGCTGCGGTTACGGTTATCCCAACATCTTCCCCATCCTCCACTCCTTCCTCGTCCTCTACCGCTACCACGGTCATCAACAGTACCGGGACTAGCAACTGTGCGCAAGATAGCGAACGTAAATCACCAAGTCAGCTGGACGGGGGGTCAAAGAAACTGTTACTTGTGTGCTCTCAACCGCAACAACCAGTTCCGAACTCCGGTCGATTGGTCACAACCATCAATGCTACCGGTACTAATGTCCAGTCAGAAGCGGTCGTCGAACCAACATTGGCTAAAGTCGTGACCACCACACAAAACCAACAACAACAACAGTCGGTCGGTCGAGCGCGTGTTTCTGCTGACTCCGAACAGTCCGAACTCGTATTCCTAACCAATCCCAGTGTCTCACTTGCCTCCTCCACTGGGATCGGCGGTTCGAGCACTTTGCATCCGAACAGTCAATCCCCCGGACTAACCACTGTGTCTCAATCAGCCGCCCAGTCCGGAGGACTGTTTGTTCCAAATCGAGGTACCACAGTGGTATTGGTCAACCACAACACAAGTCATCACAATCACATCGGCAATAATAACAACAACAATAACAACACAGTAACAGCAACAGCCGCAACAACAACCACAGTCTCCGCAGTCCCAACTGGCGGTTCTCAATCGACTGACCCAACGCGTGTGGCACCGGTGCCCATGTCGGTTTCAGCATCCGACTCGGAGGTCAGTGCCTTGCCAGTTCTGGCCAGCAGTCAAAAAATCATGGTGGATATAAGCCAACGGATCATGCGAACAGACGAGGCGGTAAGTCGAACTAGCACCATCACCACCGACACCAGTGGGTCAGATCAGAGGGACAGATGGTGGCTGGGGATAGGAGAGAGCATTATAGATGTAACAGAAAGAGGATCACACATAAACAGCATGGGGGGATCTGCAATAGATGGGGTAAATTATGATGTACAATAGTTTCACGCTTCGATCGTACCACTGCTAACGCAAAAGTTTGCCTGGGCGTTTGACTTTTTTTTAATTTGAGCTCCATCCACAGCACTTTGGTTTGTCTCCGGTCAAGCGTCACGGTGGAAACAGAAATGTGTGTGTGTGCATGTAGGTGTGTGTGATCCCTTGTATTGTATTATCACAGGGTGAAAATAACCATAAATCATCTCAGCGAACCGGTCATTGCAGACATGGCAAACGTGTGCGCATATCCTCAGCAGTGCCATAATGATAAAACGGTTGAAACAGTCATGGTTAGTAACCAATCCAGCTGCATAGCTTTTATCTTTTACAATTTCCTACTTTTCTTTAGTTTCAATGTAAATTTGATTCTCCAGGGGGAAAAACAACTGCAACAACAATCCATTGTTGTTTTTATTCAGTGTGTGTGTGTGTGTGTGTTGGATGGCTCCGTGAATGAGCTGTTCATCCGTCCAGCAACCAATCCCTGTCTTTGCGGGATGGTATATTCCTGGTGCTGTGTGCCATGGTCGAAGATGCCAAAAGTGGTGTCTGTAACCGGAACAACTCTGAGCTCATTATTATTATTATTAATATTTATTTTTCATACACGTCTGTGACCAGACTGTGTACCAAACAAACCACGGCCCAATAATCTGTATAAAAAGGAAAATAGGTCTATGACTTGCTCGAGGGCACGATACTGCCCAACACAAAACAGATGGACTTTCTTAGGGAATCCACAACCAAAGCCTAACGTGCAAGGCAGTGGGGCGGTGTGTGCAAATCGCAATCCATCGGGGGCCGGTTTCCGGGTCATCGGCTCATACGCCCTTCGGAAGGGGTCATACGTCTAAGGTGTCCAATACACCTCCATGCCCAATCGAGCCAGTGATCACTACTACAACCGAGAAGTGGTGTGTGTGATCCGTACGCCTCTTCATGGTTGGTTTGGAATCAGAGTTATTGGCCAACTCCCCTGGGTGAACTGCTTTGAGATCACATTTTCCGGGATTCAATGTTTATCAGATGTACAAGTGCATCAGGAATTCTCCTACAGCGAATCGTTCAGTCTGATTGCTGCAGACACAACCGTCAGTTAAGAATTACAGCTCATCAGTGCAGAGTTCTGCGTAGCCTCTAACCCAGGTCTGATGCACAGGTACATACGAACACCGCTTCCCTTGGATCCCTATGCGTGCGCGTGTTTATATCCATGCTGTTCTGGGGACAGCCTAGTTGATACAGCCAATCAATACTGCTACACCAGGGCTTGGTTCCCCCAATAAAGAAATCAACTGTAATGATCAGTAGCTTTTTAACTACTGGTTGCATGCAGCAATGCGGCTGAGAGTTCGACCTCAGCCGTTCGAGAATCTGATTGTTTGGTACACGGGTTCACACCTCTACATCCCACTGTGCTTGTGTCTGTGAAGTGGCAAAAATCTGGTTATTTTCCCTTTCTCTTTGATCCTTTGTCTGGGGCACATTAAGCGGTTTTGAATTTGGGGTGTTTTATGAAAACTAATTTGATGTATCATCATTGTAAGTCCACACAATCCACTTCTGACAATCTTCCTAACAATCGGAAACAAGTATATTTAGATTGTGGCGTGCCTCCAACGGGATCCAGTTGATCCAGTTAACTTGACTTGCATGCCCCCTGTTAGGGTAAAGCATTACCGTGCCACCCGTTGTTTGGTGGTTCACCTGACGTGATTCACTACTCCGCGCTGCTTGTCATTTCGGTATCTGCCGTTACTTTCTAATCTTCGTTCTGTTTGGATTTTGTATCTCCAGTCAAATTTATTCTACAGCTGCAGACGCATCACCGAATTCCGCCCTCGCCCCCCCCTCCCCCCGCACACCTTAAAATCGGGTGTTATTCATAGGAGAACACTTTCATTCCCAGATCATTTTCCATCTTATTATTATGTGTGCACGGTGTACCTGAAGAAATGGACCGAAACTTCGCGAGCCCTGTGCAGCTATTTCGGCCCTGACTAGTCAGGTTCAGAATGTGTTCCGATTGAGTCCCGATCCCGGAGGCTGGGTGCGAATATGAATAAGAGCAGATCCTCAGAACAGGTTTAGCGAAGAAGGAGGTATTGCGATACGATTCGGCCCCGGGTGACAGAGACCTGATGCGATCAGGCTACACGAATTTGCTCGATCACATGACTCAATCGGCGTGTGTGTGTGTGTGTGTGTGTGTTGTAAATCTGTAAAGATTGGTGTAATAATGTGTTCTAAGCGCAAGCGAGCGTGCGCGTTTCAGTCAGTGACTGTGCCGATAAACCAAAGGAACGCGCGTACGAACGCGTGATAGGTATTTTGTTCCTATAGTACAAATTCGGATTCAGTTTTCAGTTTTTACAACTATTTCCCGTACGACCACGAGTTTTGACTAGCACCTGCTGAGGAAGCCCTACTCACTGTCGTCTCGCGGCGGTGTTTTCTTATCAAAGTGAGAGGACGAAAAGCCGACATTAGGCGTTATAACCGGGATGGTGAACCACATGTAGTTGTTCACCCAGGGGATTTGGCCAATAACTCTGATTCCAAACCAACCATGAGGAGGTGTACGAACCACACAGACCACTTCCTGGTTGTGATAGTGGTCACCGGCTCGATTGGGCATGGAGGGGTATTGGGCACCTTGGACGTATGACCCCT